CATTCCCGCTCCCTTCGCCTCCCCGCCTCGAAGCGCCCGGCCTGGATCCCTGTCATCTTCCTTCCTAGGCTTAGGCCTGGACACCACCCCCCCGCACACACACACCCCGAATCCTTGGCTGCGCGATCAGGGTTGGAGCGGCTCCAGGACCGCCATGCCCGCCCGTCAGGAAGCAGGCACCGGAGATGGCTCCTTCCTTCTATCCCGAGGGGAGCCTTACACACAGAGAGGGCCATTGAGTGGCTGGGTATTGTCCCCCTGATCTCACACACACACACACACCCCTGCCGCCTCCCTCCCTGGGTGGCATCCCCCGCCCCCACCCCTTCCTTGAACCCGGCTCCGGTGGGGTCTTGGCAATCAAGGGCTTCCCTGGGTGCACACAGAGCCGGGCCCCCACCTGCCCTCGGCCCTCTCACCCCAGTTCTGACTTCAAGGGCATAAGGCACCATTGTCCCAGCATTGGCGGAGGCGGCTTCTCTCAATCGGCCTTGTCTTTTTGACTGTTGGGAAATTCCCAGCCATTCAGGGAGGAGGGGGCAACAGGCAAGACAGACCTTCCCAGGTGTCCTGAACCCTAACTGCAGGGACTCCATGAAATGGACACACACACACACAGCCTGGAGCTGTTCCTGATGGGAAATTCCCCTGTTCCCTGATCCCTGTGTGTCCCTTCCCCCAGCTCTCCCAGTATAAAGAAGCCCATCTTGCCCATACCCTCCGACAGCTGCAGCTCTGAGGCCCAGGACCCTTAACAGAATATGCAAAACCAACTACAGCACCGAGGCTCCCAGTGGTTCCAATGTGAGGAGGATTTGTCCCCCAGCTATGCCACGAGGCTGATCCAACTCCAAGAGGGCCTGGCCCACTTGAAATAGTTGCTCTGGTGACTGATGTGGTGGCAGCCTTGGTATTTTTAACCTATCTGTGGGCCAGGGGAACAGCTGGGAAGAGAAAGAGAAATTCTAAGTGAGGCCTAAAGAGGAGAGAGCATTCAAAGACCCTGTGGGAAGCCAGGCACTGGTGGCTCATGCCTGTAATCCTTAGTTACTCGGGTGGCGGAGGTTGCAGTTTGGAGCCAGCCCAGGCAGGAAAGTCCATGAGACACTATCTCCAATCAATTACCAAAGAGCTGGAAATGGAGCTGTGGCTCAAGTGGTAGACAACTAGCCTTGAGAGAGAAAAAAAGAAAAAGCTCAGGAACAACTCTCAGGCCCTGAGTTCAAGCCCTAGTCCTGGCACAAAAAAGAAAGAGACCCTGTGGGAAGGAGGCAGGCAGGAAGGCTCTCTTCTCTGCCCAGGCCAGCAGGTGGGCAGAGGACTAGATGCCAGGGACAAAATAGGGAATGGATCTCCCAAGGCCAGAGCTGCAGGAACTGTCAAGTCTGGGAGTAACTTCTCAGTATGTTCCAAGGAAGCCTCATAACTTCTGATGTCCAAAAACCCTCTCTCTCCCTCTTCCCCAGAGTTCCACAGAATCATTCCACACCCACCCTCAGACGAAGAGAGCCAAGTTAGTGATAGGCTGAAGTATACCAGCCGGGTTTGCGTGTCTCTGGAAGCAGTGTGTTTTGGCTGAGTCTATCCTTGAACACTGACCCCAAAATATATGTCTACTACCTAAAGGAAACCTTGGGCCCTCATCCCTATCCCTGTTGTGGGGATTTATATGCTCCCAAGCTGCTTTTTGGACTCTGAAAGAACCCAAGAAATGCAGTCCAGGTGCATCACGGCCCCTGCCACACTCTCAGGGTGATGGCTTCTAGCCAGCTAGAGCATGTGTGCAATTGCGTGACAACAAGCAGATACAAGCCTGCCAGCTATGGTGATGTGCACAGGGCTCAACGGGGCAGGGGTCAAGGCCATAGGTCCCTTTCTTCTCCCTGCCTTGGTTTCTCCTCTTGGAGCTACAGCCCCTTAGGTGATCTTGGGAGAAAAATTATAATTTACCATTCCCTCCCATCAACTCTGGTGTGTGCGTGTGTTTGCGCACACGCGTGCATATGCACGCATGCGTGTGCATACACCAGTCCTGAGGCTTGAATTCAGGGTCTGGGCACTGTCCCTGAGCTTCTTTTGGTCAAGGCTAGCACTACTACTTGAGCCACAGCTCCACTTCCAGCTTTTTCTGTTTATGTAGTCTGGAGGCATCGAACCCAAGGCTTCATGCATGCTTGCTGAGCAAGCACTCTACCACTAAGCCACATTCCCAGTCCCCCCACCTCCCCATGTAGTTTACTGAAGTAGTTTACTGAGTAGTTTACTGGAGATTAGAGTCTCCTGCACTTACTTTCTGCATCTGGCTTAAATCATAATCCTCAAGTCCCAGCCTCCTACATAGCTAGGATTGCAGGTATGAGCTTTCTGATCATACTGGGGATGGGAAGATTCAGTTCTGGGGATTCAAACAAGATGAAGGAGTCATCAAGCCTCATTCTAAGGATCCTGATTAGAAGCCAGCCCAGGCAGGAAAAGTCCAGGAGAAACTGATCTTCAATGAATCACCAAAAAAGCCAAAAGTGGAACTGTGGTTCAAGTAGTAGAGCATTATAGTCTTGAGCTAAAAAACTACAACCAGCTCAGGCCCAGGCCCTGAGCTCAGGCCTCTGTACCAACCAACCAACAAACAAAAACAAAACAAAAAGGAAGAGATGGGGGAAGGAGGAAAGGAAGAAGAGGAAGAGGAAGAAGAAAAGTAGCAGAAGAAAGAGGAGGAGGAAGAGAAGAAAATAGTTGTGTTGGGGATTGAGGGGAAATGACAAGAGGGTCTGGGCAGAAAGGTTTCCTTTGGGGCCTTACCCCTCCATCTGGTCCTGGATGCCCAGTGCTGCCAGGGTAACAGAGTGCACACTTGTTGGGCCTCTACTATGTATCAGACCGGTCTAGCCCGGTGACTATAACTGCCTGAGAGGTTATCTCCAACTAGGGACACACATCTGGCAAGCAGCAGTGTCGACACTCAATTCTGTCTCTCCCTGTATTACCCTGGGGGTGTCTCTCCCAGCCCCTCCCATGCTCACCCATATTCCACCCAATCATCCCCTTCATCAGCACCCCAGGAAGGCTATTTTTAGGGGACCTAGGGAATGATGTAGTGTTTGTGTTCATGTTTGTAAATGTGTACGGAAGTCCACTTGGGCAGCTTTTCAGGCGTAGCCCCTCCTCCCCCCCCCAAGGGCTCTGGAGAAGGCCCCACCCCCACCCCCCTTCTCCCCACTCCACCCTACTGGGCAATGAAGAAAACAGGAGGGAGAGAAGAGCTATGATGTGGCTGGAGGGGGGGGGGGGCTCGCCATCCCAGAGGAGCTGACCTCAGCACGGGAGGAATGTGCAGGAGGAGGAGGGGAGGGCGGGGAGGGCAGGGGCGGAGTTCAAGCGGTGGAGGGGGTAGAGGCTGGGGTTCGCCGTGGCCCCTCCTTCAGCCCCTCCACCTCAGCCCTGCCATGGCCCTTAGAAGAAGGGAAAGGAAACAGCCAGGAAGGGAGGAGCTGATCTTTCCAAAAAGGTGGGCCAGGGGTAGGGTGGGGGGGGTCCTCTGAGAAGGTGGAGCCGGAACTGTGGGGTTCATGCGTGGGTGGGTGGGTGGAAGGCCCCCCCTCCCCCCAACAGATCCGTTGCCCCCCCCCCCCGAGATCTGCCGTGACAGGTATTAAAATACCAGAGAAGTGGCTAGGTTTCAAGTGTCTGTTCATGGCTCTGCCCTACCCCCCCACCTTGCCCCCCCCCCCCCGCCCCCCCCCCCCCCAACAGATCCGTTGCCCCCCCCCCCCGAGATCTGCCGTGACAGGTATTAAAATACCAGAGAAGTGGCTAGGTTTCAAGTGTCTGTTCATGGCTCTGCCCTACCCCCCCACCTTGCCCCCCCATCCTCCTCCTCCCACCTCCCTTCCTAAGGACAGCGGGACCTGGCGCCCACGTGGCTCTCCGGAAAAGCTGGTGATGTGGAACTGCCTCCAGCCTTGATGGCGAAAGCAGGTGTGAGCCGTCAACCCAGGCTGGGCCCGGACGGGATTGGCATAACCTTCCTCAAATGGGTATCCTACCCCAGCCACCCCACTCCGAGTCTAGGCAGGGCTGCAGAAAGGGGGGGGGCCCAGCCAGTGGGTGAGGAGGGGTGAGGAGACAGGTTCTGGAGCTGGGCAGACAGTGCCATCAGTGGGCAGCCCCAGAGCAAGAACCCAGACAGGCCTGTCTCCATAGGTATGCCAGCCAAAGGTAGGGTCCGAGGAGCTGGGCCAGCAGAGGGGTGCGGATGGGGTCCCAGGGAAGGGGTCCCAGACAGTGGGAGAGACCCCAGCCCTCCTCATTGGCTTGCCAATTCGGTTGAGAGCCAGGTTCAAGCTGTCTCTTATTCCAGTATTTGGGGAGATTCAGGAGCCCCATCATAACCCCATGGGCATAGATCCTCTTGGAGTGCAGCCTCTATGGGGACCTCCCCCCCCCTCCCCGCCCAGGACACTGACATACTGGGACCTGGGGCTGAGGAGCAGAAAGGAGACCTGTAGGGACACTGGCTACTTGAATAATCCACCTACCTTCCTTCTGAAGAAGGAAGGGCAAATTGTAGGGCTCAGGTGATTGGCCCATTTGTGTGTGTGTGTGTGTGTGTGTGTGTGTGTGTGTGTGTGTGTGTGCGTGCATGCAAGTGTGTGTAAATGTGTGTGCACGTATGCACTGGGTCTTGAACTCAGAGCTTGAGTGTTGCTCCTTAGCGTTTTTGCTCAGCTCTGGTGCTCTACCACTTGAGCCACAGCTCCACTTCTGGCTTTTTGATAGTTAATTGGATAAGAGTCTCATAGACTGCTGCCCAGCCTTTTATTTATTTATGTTGTCAGTAGTGGGGCTTGAACTCTGGGCCTGGGTGCTGTCCCTTAACTCTTCAGCTCAAGGTGAGCGCTCTACCACTTGATTCACAGCACCACTTCTGATTTTCTTGGTGGTTCATTGGAGATAAGAGTCTCAGGGAGGGGCTGGGAAGGTGGCTCAGTGGTGGAGTGCTTGCCATGCATGCATGAGGCCCTGGGTTCAATTCCTCAGCACCACATAAGCAGAAAAAGCTGGAAGTGGTGCTGTGGCTCAAGTGGTAGAGTGCTAGCCTTG